AATCATATTCCTGACTCTTAAAATCTACAGAAGAGGGCCTCCCCAGTGCTGCAGTGGGTTGAGCACGGTGCTGTGAATCTGCCCACAGCCCCTGCAGCACGGGTTCGATTCCTGGCCAGCCAGGGAGATCCCCACATGGTGAGGCAGACCTGTCCTGTCTCGCCCGCTGCTCCCCTCAGCAGTGTCTTTCGTCTGTCTGCCTGTTTTGCTCCCTGCTCTGTCTCTGGTGAATTCTCTCACCCTCCCACACTTCTGGCCTGTACTCCTGTACTTGTATAAATAAATCTTAAAAAAAAAAAAAAAAACCTACAGAAGAGACACTAGTGAAATGTTGGAGGACCAAGGAAACTTCAAAGACAGAAGATAAAGAACAAGAAAGAAAGAATTATAAATGAAATGAGAAATGGAAGGTCTAATCTGATAGATTCAGGAACTGGAAGTCATCACATTATACCTGAGGTGGAAGAGCATAGCCAAGGAACCACGGAACACACCTTGACAAATTGAATACACAAACAGCAGCCATCCACAAAGACTTCCTTCCCTTCACCCAGTGTTTGCCTCACTACTTTATTAAAAGAGTGGCATAGAGAAGAACTTATGGAGAAGACATATGACGATGCAGCACAAAGATCATCAATGGTGCCAGAGTTAAATTACTGATGCATTCCACATTGCATCTTATTTTACCAACAACACATCCAGGTTTGCTACTTAGTCTCACTACAAGCTGGATTTCATTCCCTCATTCAACAAACATATATCAAATGCTTACTAAGTATCAAGAATTGAGGATACTGCAATGGGAAAAGAAAAAAAAATCCCCTGCTTTTGTGCAGCTTACTTTTTAGTGGACCATTCTGGAAATATCTGGAAGCGCTGACATATTAGATCTATTGAATGAAAGAGAGGAGTTGAGAATAACAGCAAGATTTTTGACTTGAATAACTAGAAGGATGGAATTGCTGATTACTGAGATAAGGACCACTTTGGAGGAGTTTGAGAAGGAAGATCCAGAGTTTGGACATATATTTGAGATATTCATCAGACATGCAAGTGAAGGGGTGGGATAGTCAGACAGGTACATCTAGAGTTGAGACTGAGAAAAAGCACTAAGGAGCCATGGGAATACAGCTCACTGAATCCATGCCGAAAGAGTAATATAGAGAAAAAAGAAAAGAGTTCTGAAAACTGAACCCTAGAGATCTCCAATCTTTGGGGTCAAGGATATAAGGAGGAAAAAACAAATAAATGCCTGCAAAGTGATGCAAACTAATTAAGATAGAGAACATGTAATAGCTTGAACTTGGATAGCATTCTCATACCACACATTCTTTTTATTTTATAAATGTATTCAAAACAGTTCTTTATTTGTTTAGCATTTTCAATGACCATCAAGGATTCACAGAAGCAGGTTTTTCACAGAATGTTTATATCTTCTGAGACCTACACTTGGACTTAAAAAAACTGTATTTGTCCTTAGTGTTTGATAATTAGTTTCATTAAGTGATCAGAAAAGAATGAGGCTATTTTCATTACAATGACATATGTGGAAATAGAATGCAATGAAGTGTTATTATTAACAAATTAAGAGCTGCTAGAATTATAGGTGTGATTACATGGAGTTCGACTAGTAATAACTATTAAGTGTGTTCTGATGTTAGATAAAAGAATAAAAACTCTTCGGGAGAATCTGAAGTAAAAGGTATTAGAGCAAGTACGAAAGAATGGTGCTGAAAGTACATTACCCTAATTAGAGGAAGGCTGATGAATAGTCTTTTTTTAAAAAAGATGTATTTTATTTATTTATGCATACAAGAGCTGGGGTGTAGGCCAGGGGTGCAGAGGGGTGAGAGGATTCACCAGAGACAGAATGGGGAGCAGAACAGGTGGATCTACTGAAATACACCGCTGAGGGGAGCAGCCAGCAGGTGAGACAGGAGAGGTCTGCTGCACCATGTGGGTCAGCTCCCTGGCCGGGGATCAAACTCATGCTGCAGTGGCTGCCATAGCTTCATAGCGCTAAGACGTAACCCCTTGTGCCAAGGAGGACCCTGATGAATATTTTTAAAGTGAAATTATCACAATCATTGTTAGAAAGTAACTCCCAAAGTACTAAAGGTAGAAGGTTTGGTTTAAGTCTTCTCTTGTTCTTTTGGGATGAAAAATGCTGTGAAAATCTAATAAGCATGGGAAGAAGGAAACATTTTAAAAATTATGTTGTAAGACAACATAGTGGAATACTATTTAGCCATTAAAAATAACAAGTTAGAAGTGTAACTCAGAAAAATGTTTATAGTATATTGCAAAAGAAAAAAGCAGGTTATAAACTATATGTAAATTATCTAATTTTTAAAAATCTACATGCACAGAAAAACTTCAATTTATTGAAAGTTAATGGGATAATAATGACTTTAATTTTCTTTTGGATGTTCTTTGAAATTTTCCCAGTCTTCTGAAATAAGTAATTATCTTTGTAGAAGCCAAGCAAAAACGCAGGAAATAAAAGCCTGGTGTATCTCAAAGCCCAGAGACTGAAATCATAACAATCTTATCTTGGGCTGCCTGCAGAAACTAAGGGTACTGCGTCGGTGTGTGTATGCGTGTGTAGCTCTGTGTGTGTGTGTGTGTGTGTGTGTGTGTGTGTATGTTTGTGTAGCTCTGAAGAGTTTTCCTTTGGTTAGGTTTGGTTATTATAAAAGCAATATGTAGGAAAGAAGTTGAAAAAACTCTGGTTAGAAACCAACATAAGGGGGCCTCCCCGGTGGCGCAGCGGTTGAGCGCTGGGTTGCGAAGCTGCCGCGGCCTCTGCGGCGCCAGTTCGATTCCCGGCTGCTCCCCGGCCACCGGAGGAGGGTCCCACATGGCGCACAGACCTCTCCTGCCGCCCGCTGCTCTCCTCAGCAGTGTCCTTCGGTCCTTCTGCCTGCTCTGCTCCCCGCTCTGGCTCTGGTGAATTCTCTCACCCTCTCGCGCTTCTGACTGTACCCAGTGCTTGTATAAATAAATAAATCTTTTAAAAAAAAATGTTAGCATAATATTATTAATATTATGGCATTTTTATTAGCATATTATTAAATTGGCCAAAAATGTTTAAAATTTAAGAGCCAAGATTCAACAGAATATGGCAAAATGTTTATATGTACAGTGCATATATATATATACATACATGTTTATTCACATATATATTCTTAGTGGGGATACATATTAGCACAATCCTTTTTGAAAGCAATCTAGCAATGTAGATGAGGAACAGTAAAATATGCATGTTTACTGCGGGAAGCAATTTGGCAGTTTCTTCTAAAATTAAGCCTACAACTACCATTCAACCCAACAATTGCACTCATGAACATTTATACCAGAGAAATGAAAACTGTGTTCACTCGAAAACCAGTGTATGTATGTTCATAGCAGCTTTATTCCTACTAGCCAGAAAACAAAAAACAAAAAAACATGGAAACAACCCAGACCTCCTCCAAAGGATGACTGGTTAAATAAACCATGGATGCTCAACAATGAAGAGAAATGAACTATTGATATACACAATTTGGATAAATGCCAGGGAGTTATGCTGAGTGAAAAAAAGCAATGCCAAGAAATCACACACTGTATTATCGCATTTTTTAATGATTTCCACTTTTGAAATCACAAAATTGTGGAAATGGAGAACAGATTAAATGGTTGCTGGGGTTAGTGGGAGAAAGGGGGATGTGGTTACAAAAGGGCAATTAGAAAATCCTTGTGATGGAAATGTCTTGTATCTTGACTGTCAATGTCAATATTCTGGTTATATTGTAGGAGTTCTGCAAGATATTACTTCTGAAAAAAGGAACTTGGGATCGCTGCATTATTTCTTATAACTACAATGATCTCAAAAATCGTTTACTACAGAAAGTGTACATCTCACTATAGCCATTTTCCCACGTGTGATCATGGTACAAGGGATATAACCCAAAAGAAGAAAATAATGTTAAATAGACCACAGTGTTAATTACAGCAGGGAAAACAATCTAAATGTCCAACCAAGAAAACAGATAAATCATGATATAGCCACCTAAGAGTTATGCAGTTGTGTGATGAAGCAACAACAAAAAAATTGAAGATGAAGTTTCAAAATTGTAGTACAATATGTCAGCTCTGTGAAGGGGACTGGAATATATTGCAAAGATTGTAATGGTATTACGCTATGTGGAATTCTAACAGGAATGTTTTCCTTCCCTCAGACTTTCCGTAATGATTGCATGGTTTTTACAATGGCTTGGGAAGAGGGGGGTAAACAGTAAAACGCATTTTTAATGATAAAATTACAAAGGTTGGAGTCACAGTAAAACTTCTTTGAATTTGTCCCTCCCAGTAGGGCAAGCTTCGTTTTTCTCAGGTTCCAGGCTTGGTTGCACTAAGAACTCACACCGGGCCACAGTCTGAGCCCAAGGCACGTGACATGAGGCCCCAGGGCCGACCACCACAGTTGCTCTAGCACCGCCCAGAGCCCCACCGGGAGTCCAAGGACTAGACCCCGGGGATGAGGGGATGAGGGCGAGACTGCTGCCGGGAAGTGCAGTGACCACTCCAAGGTCACCAAGGACCCTGCAGTCGCGGGTCGGCCTGGTCCAGGGCTCCCAGGCTGAGTGAGGGTCCTGCTCTTTGACCTGCGTCCCTCGCCCCAACCCGATCCACGACCCCACTGACCCCCACTGCTCCCAGGGGCTCCGCGAGGCGCGTCCCCATGTTGTGCCGTGGAGGCTGCCAAGGTCCCCAGGCCCTGGGCTCGGCGCCTCCATCCTCAACCTTGGACCAGGACCCTCGAGAACTGTACCGAGCAGTAACCTAGACCAGTCCCCGCTTCCTTTTTCGCCCTCTCAACCCAGCTTTTCCCGACTCCGGGAAGAACCGGGAAGAGAAGGCGGAGGGGAGCCCGGCGCCGCCGAATAAATACTGTGGCCCGGCCCCGCCCACCTACCTCACTTCCGCCCCGCGGCAAGATGGCGGCGCCGGGGCCCTGCCACGCAGACTTCCGCCGGGTGCCGAGACCGAGGGAGGGCTGCGGGCGGCGTTGGAAGTGAAGTCGCGGCGCGCGTGGTGTGGAGCCGCAGCCCGGGTGCGCTGGGGTGCGTCCCGGCCATGTTCCCGGCGGGTTGCCTGGGGAGAGGGCGAGCTAAGAGCTCCAGCCCGGGAAGCCCGGGGAGTCTCGCCACGTGGGATGGGGAGGAGCTGGACGCTGCGGGAGGGACGCCCTGACTGGGGGGCGGGAGGCCACGTGAGTGGGGTTCCGCCCAGGGTCCGCGAGTTGGTCCCCTGGAGTGAATTCGTCGCTTTTTCCCCCCTCCCCTCCCAGGCAACATGTCGGAAGGAAACGCCGCGGGCGAGCCCAGCACTCCGGGAGGGCCCCGACCCCTTCTTTCTGGGTCTCGGGGGCTTATCGGGCGGCGACCGGCGCCTCCTCTCACCCCGGGCCGCCTTCCCTCCATCCGCTCCAGGGACCTCACCCTCGGGGGAGTCAAAAAGGTACCCCACGGCATCTTTCTAAAGCTACCTTGAAGGCCTCTGGGGTTCAGTTAATGTTCTTGTAGGGCATACTGTGTGCCAGGCCTAATGGGTCTCCTGAATCTTGTCCCCAGACTTGGCCTACGCATTCTGGGGAACCTGAATGCCTCAGGTTTAGGTACTGGGTGCAAGATGTTGAGGTGGTGTTCAGAGGTGACGGAAGGACAGACTCTCAATTATTTCAAGATGTGCAAAAGCAACTTGAGTAGTGTTAATTAAATGTGTATTTTGGACACCTTTAAGAAATCATCCATGAAGACACACAGGTGGGCATAGACTTTTGTCTGTAGTTTTAGAGCATTCTGAATTCACATCCCAGTGTGCAAATTTCTGATCTAGAACATAATGTATCTCAGGCTTTGCATTGGAGGCTCTTTGACTTTTCTTATTCCATGCATGACTGTAGATGTAAAGCATAATCCTGGAAGGGGGAGGAAAAGAGGATCAATGACACCTTAATGCAGCCAGTTTTTAAGGACTTAACTTTACTTGGGAAACTCCAGTGGTAGTCTTGTTACAGGGCGTCCTTTCCCCTTAACAGTCTAAATGTGTCTTGTACTTGTACTTGTCAGCATGGCAGATCCTTCTCTATTTGAGCCTTGCTGCTAGAGCCCTTTCTCCACAATACCCACTGGTCTTTATAGCAGTCTGGAGAAGAGAAGTGAGGTTAATTAAGTCCCTTTGCTTTAAGAAGTCCTAAAAGCAGAAACTGAGGCTGCTCACTAAAATTTTTTGGTGCCCCTTCTCTGTATAACTCCCTGCCACCACAGCATGGCATTCCTCTTTCCCAAGCACACATGTATCTCAGTAGATCTTTATCAGCAGTGTAGAATGTGCAGAAGTCCGCCATGGTGCTCTTGATCCATAGAATATGCCCTTTGGGAGTTTTTTATTTTCCTCTGTAGTTTGGTATTGGAACTTATGAAATCAGTGACTCCTATGTTTTACTTTCAGAAAACCTTCACCCCAAATATCATCAGTCGGAAGATCAAGGAAGAGTAAGTTACTAGGTGTTCTGAATACTTGCCCCTTACTTACTTGCTCTGAATTTTGGGTTTGGGGAAATAACTAAGTGTATGGTTCAGAAATTTAAATTTGTGTTTTTAATTCTTCTCTCTTGTAATTTTCAACCTGGATTCCTAGATGATTTCAGTGTGCAGGCTCTTTTTAAAAACATTGATGTGTGGGTGTCCAACCCTAGAAATTGTGATTTAACTTGTTTGCAGTGAAATGGAATGATTCTCTTTTACAGCCAGAGTTGAGAGACTCTAGTTTAGGACGTATTTTCCATAAAATTCTTTTGTATAACAGCCTTCCTGCTTTCAGTCTATACAAAAAAAATCTACATCTTTGAACAGTCTCTGTAATTCAACTTTTGGGTTATAGTTCTTATAAATACTCTCACACAGGAAGGTAAAGTAAAACACACTGAAAGACTGCCTAATCAAGGAAATGAGAAATATTTTCAATTTAGGACAGACGTCTCTTCTCATGTTGTAGTTACTGGTTCATAAACTCTACTCAGGTGGAGTGAAGTGGTGGGGAGAATGAGACCGATTCTTTGAGGCAGAGTGAGTGGGTTCCCTTAATCCATTCTCTTTTCCAGGCCCAAGGAGGAAGTAACCATCAAGAAGGAGAAGCGTGAAAGGGATAGAGACCGGCAGAGAGAGGGACATGGACGGGGCCGGGGTCGCCCAGAAGTGATTCAGTCTCACTCCATCTTTGAGCAGGGCCCAGCTGAAATGATGAAGAAAAAGGGTACAAAGCTGTGGGGGCTCCGGGAGGAAGGAATCAGTGGATTTCAGTTCAGGCTGCCTGAAAGCAGGGCATGGGCAGTGCCCCCCACCCCCCGTTTCTTCCTCACCCCTGTGTTTTGGGTGATTTCCCACAGGCAACTGGGATAAGACGGTGGATATGTCAGACATGGGGCCCTCTCATATCATCAACATCAAAAAAGAAAAGAGAGAGACAGACGAAGAAACAAAACAGATCCTGCGAATGCTGGAGAAGGATGACGTAGGTAGCTCAGGGGAGCTTTGTGGCTTTGGAAAAGGGCTTCTGGGGAGCCAGGGTCAGGGGAAGAAGAGCTCTGATGTCCTGGAATCCTGGTGAGCTGAGCATGAGTCTTCCGTTAGGAAAGGGCTAAGCTGTATGTGTGCCAGCCAGGCCATGCGAACACCACCCTCCCCCTCTTTTTGGCAGTTCATCGATGACCCTGGACTGAGGAATGATACTCGAAACATGCCTGTGCAGCTGCCGCTGGCTCACTCGGGATGGCTTTTTAAGGAGGAGAATGAAGAGCCAGATGTTAAACCTTGGTTGACTGCCCCCAAAGAGGAGGACATGGAGGTGGACGTGCCTGTTGTGAAAGGTACTCTGTGACTATTCCATCTCATCTCCTTTTCTCTGGTTCCCCTGCCCCCAAGAAACGAGCCTCCCAGACTGCTGCTGATAAGCAGGTCCTCTCCATTCTAGCTATAAAATACATGAGCTGAACAAAGGTGCTAAATTTCCATTCTCAGGAGGGTTCAAATGCTGGCATGGATGGTGGACCTAGCCTCAGATCGCCTTGTGTACATAAGACACACAATTTTCCTCCATCCTTTTTTTCTAACCAGTGTCCAGGTTCTTAGCTGAATGACAGTGGAGAAGACGGGAGTGAAGGGATGGGTGCAGTGATGTGGCATGCAGGGTGGTGGCTTGATAGCCCTTCCATTTGTATCCCCCTCTGGGCAGTGAAAGAAGAACCACGAGATGAGGAGGAGGAGACCAAGATGAAGGCTCCTCCCAGAGCAGCCAGAAGGACCCCGGGTCTCCCAAAGGATGTGTCTGTAGCTGAGCTGCTCAGAGAGCTGAGCCTCACCCAGGAGGAGGAGTTGCTGTTCCTCCAGCTGCCCGACACGCTCCCTGGCCAGCCTCCCACTCAAGACATCAAGCCTATCAAGACAGAGGTGCAGAGCGAGGATGGGCAGATGGTGGTTATAAAGCAGGAGAAAGATCGGGTATGCTTAGGGTAGAGTTCTGTGAACGTTCTGGGGCCCAGACTGGGGACTGCAACCTGTGGGGAGAAGTGAGGGTGTGCTGTCCAAGCCAAAACTCGGGAATAGTATGCTCTTGTTCTTTTTACCGACTACTACTAATCTACTCTTTCTTGTTCTGGACTTTCCACTTCAACCCCAATTAGATGTGTATGTTGACTTTTTGCAGTGAAAAACTTCGAACATATGGAAGTGAGCATAAACTCTCATGTATAGTCATCCAGCTTCAGCAGTTACTGAAACTTTGTCAACTTTTCTTGTTTGCTGTGGGTTTTGTTAACCGTAGGAAAAGGCCCTTTGGGGAGCTCATTTCATCCTTTGTTATTGGTGCCTGCCTTTGGAAAGGGTTCATTCACAAAGGGCGGAGGAAACAATTCCTTACCAAGTTTGTATCTCCTGATTCTCTTCACAGGAAGCCAGGCTGGCAGAGAATGCGTGTACCCTGGCTGACCTGACAGAGGGTCAGGTTGGCAAGCTGCTCATCCGCAAGTCGGGAAAGGTGCAGCTTCTCCTGGGCAAGGTGACTCTGGATGTAACCATGGGAACCACCTGCTCTTTTCTGCAGGTGAGAACCCAGGGGGTCAGATCAAGACTTTGAAAGAGGGGCAGGGTGTTGAGCAGTCGATGCTAAATAGAGGAGAAGTTTCAGTTATAGCAAAGTCATCGGATTGAGTTGTGGGGTGGGGTTTTGCTTCTCACTGCGTTCTCTGTCGTTTGGCAGGAGCTGGTGTCTGTGGGTCTTGGAGACAGTAGGACAGGTGAGATGACAGTCCTGGGACATGTGAAGCACAAACTCGTATGTTCCCCTGATTTTGAATCCCTGTTGGATCACAAACATCGGTAAAATGAGCAGAGGGAGGATGGTGGTGACTGTCGCCCACAGCTGCTGCTTGCTCGGACATCTGGTTCTCGATTCTACGCAGCCCTGAGCGGGCCTGTTTAGCCCACCCACTCCCACCTTTGGCAGACGTTGTTGAACTTCCCCTGCAGCACACGGGGCGCTCTCCCACCGCATCTGTGAGTGGCACAGTGACCTTCCCACAGCGTGGATGCTGCACCTTCTTGATGCTGGAGGACTTGCCCCTCTATTTATTTTTATATTTATGTCTTGTCAGTTGATTGCACCCTTCCCAGGTTGGGGGGGAGGTGAGGGAGTTTGTGGACAGTGCACGATCCTCCTGGTCACCTCCTGGTTCTCAGGGTAGGAAGTATAAAACTGCTGCTTTTACTTCCTCCTTCCTCCTGAGATATGTCAGGGAGGGAGCAGGGAAGTTTTGAGTCTGAAACTCAAGTCTTCAGTCCCAGCTCTCAGTTACAGTTGTGTGACCTTGGACAGACTACCTAACCTTTCTGAGCCTCAGAGTCCTCATCTGATAAAAATGAGGATAATACCTACCTCACAGGGTTGTGTGAGGATTAAGTGGAATATTACAGATGACAACTCCTTGCACAAGGCCAGACATAAACAGTAGGCACTCAATAAATGTTAGTTTCCCTTCCCTTTGCCTGAGTCTATTTTCAAACAAAATAGGGATTCTGGGGCCTCCCCGGTGGCGCAGCGGTTGAGCGCTGGGTTGCGAAGCTGCACGCGGCCTCTGCGGCGCCGGTTCGATCCCCGGCTGCTCCCCGGCCACCGGAGGAGGGTCCCACATGGCGTGCAGACCTCTCCTGCTGCCCGCTGCTCCCCTCAGCAGTGTACTTCGGTCCTTCTGCCTGCTCTGCTCCCCGCTCTGGCTCTGGTGAATTCTCTCACCCTCCCGCGCTTCTGACTGTACCCAGTGCATGTATGAACAGAACAAACAAACAAACCAGCAAAACAAATAAATAAAGCATGCCTCTATTAAAAAAAAAAAAATAGGGATTCTGGGAATCTCTGGGATGAAGTGACTAGAGCTTCATCTACCGTCTCTCCCAGGCCTGGTGCCATGAAGGTACAGGCTTAGGCTCTTGTGTGCCCTTTTTCTCCTGAGCACTCCTAGCCAAGTGTGTCCTGTTCACGGTGTAAGGCGCTCGTGGGAGGTTTTGTCAGAAGTGAAGAAGTCAGAGACGACTCCTGGCCCCCAACAAATGCCTTTGTGTGATACGGCGGTCCCACGGCTTACTCCCTCCATTCTTACCTCTTGCAGTAAGTACATGGTACTCTTCGAACTTCCACTTGAATATTTCTCAAATCTCTGACCACTCGTTGAGAGTTTGCATCACATTAGGTCAAGTTCTGCTGAGAAACAACCCTTGTGAGGTAGAAAGTAATAATTTGTTGAATAATGAACACCCTCTTTGACAAGCGACAGATGACCTCCCACTTAAAAAGCTTTGGATTTGAGAGGCCCACCTCTCTGTCTCCTGTCCTAGATCCTGGGGCTGCCCCATCCTAGCTGGCCACACTGGCCTTTCCTTTTATAGCCATGTGGCGTTCCTTTCACCAGATGTTCACACTCTGGATCCTTCCAATGTGTAGTCCCTGGAGTAGCACCTTCACTTCAGTGCATGTCCATAGGGCTGAGTTTGCTCCTGGTGCCATCGGGGGGTGTCTTAGCAGTTAGGGAAGCTGCCAGCCACAGTGTCTGTCCTTTGACACCTATGTCACAGCTCCCTTTTCTGGGAGTTCAGCAAACCTGGAGTAGGGATAAACCCTCTAGGCTCTGTGAGAACTGCCTCTTGCCAACTAGCAGGGGGCCCCAGAGACTTTGGATGGGTACACCTTCTCTTAGTCTCATCTTCCTGTTTGTTGAGTGTGTTTTCTCTTCATCGTGGCTGGAGCTGCCCAGCCAGCAGCTGTGAGGGGGATTAGGTGTTTAATCACCACATTGCCCCTTCTGTAGCTGACAGTTCCTGTGAACTCTGTTGCATAGTGTTCTGTTCTCCTTTCTTGTGGAGGATGGAGCAGAAAGGATTCCTTGGAGACTTGTGCTGTGGAGTCCTATTTAGTCTAAGACTGAGCTTTGATGACCGGCCCTAGTGCTTTTTGTTATGTGAACTTCAGTGCTTGCTTCTCCTTTTAACTAGTATCCTGCTAGTGGGTCTCCATGGTAATCCCCCCTTTCTCTTCTGTCTCATTCAAAAACACCCTCCTGCTTTTTTTGGGCTAACTCAAAGGCCCTGCCTCCTTCGGTGTTTGCTATTTTGCAGTCTTTAGGTCATACTCATCTAAGAAAATTTGAGGAGATCATGTACCACTTTCGTATTCCATTTACTATTTCAAGTTTCTTGGGAATTGAACTTTGTGACCCTGCATCAGAGTCCCCATGATCTAGCTCTGTGCCTGAGACACAAGTTTTACGTCATCAGTGAAAGTGTAAGAAAAGGATGAGGCAAGTCTGCCTTTTTGCCAAACCTTTGAGGTACACATTTCTACCACCAAATAAATGCAATACTGGGAGTGAAAAGCCCAAAGCCAAATCATGTATGAGTGCAAATTGATGTAAATGTATTACTACCTGCATCTGTGTGTGTGCATTTTGCTAAGACTCTAAAAACTGTAAGCTTGTTCATTTTCAGCTCTATGATTAAGTGACACGGAGTGTGGGCTTTAGAGTCAGCATTAGGTTTGAATACAAATCTATAGTGAACTTTGGGGGAGGTTAGTTCCCTAAGCTCATTTTCTACAAAAATGAGATAATACTAACTTTTTAATAGGGTTGCTTTTAAACTAGATTTGATATCAGCTTTTTATCAGCACCAGACAGGAGAGTGCTTGTAGAAGACTGATCAGCACAAGTAACAGAACACTTCGATGATAGTGACTTAAGCAATAAGGATGTTTAAGTATCTCTTAGAACAAGAACTCTGGAGGTAAATGACTCCAGAGTTGGGTGGCAGCCAAAATGTCATCAAGATTTTCTTGGATCTATTTACTCTGCCATCCTCTGTGTTGTAAAGTGACTGCTACAGCTTTTGCCATCATTTCTTCAAATGACAATGTTCAAAACCAAAGCAAGATGTAAAGCAGACATCAGTAAAGGAACTCTTCATTCTGCTCTTGTCAGGGGGGGATAACCTGCAGAGGTCCCAGGAGATCTGCCCCTGAGGCTGTTCAGTAGAGCTGGGCCACATCCCCATCCTTGAACCAGGTGCTGGCAAAGAGGAAAGGACGGTTGGAACATTTTGTCCTCTGCCACTGGCCATCCTATTGCCTGTAAGACAGGTTTTTATTAGGGAAGATGCAGGAATGGCAGACATCCATAATGTTTGCCACATTGTTCAAAAAATGTATTGTAGTAAAGTCATAAAGTATATCTAGGTAGAATTTTTCAAGTGTTCAGTCACCATTTATTTCAAATAAACCAGTGTTAACATTTCAATGCACATTCTTTCAGATTTCAGAATTTTATTATATATAATGGTGTTAGTGTGTTGCTTTGTCGTATGCTTTATCTCATTTTAAAATATAGTTTATTCTTCCATGTTGGTACACATTCGTTCTTCAGATACTTACGACCTAGTGGACAGAATTAAAGAGTGTCCTTTAATCTTCTCAAGCTACCTACATGGTCTGAATGAAGAGATCAGTCAGCACATGGCTCTTTAAGGGATAACAGGCTTATTTCTTAGGTGCAGGGGACATTGAAATCAGTGGCGTCCCTGCCTAGTCCTCCTGTGCTGCCGCCCAACCCTGGTGCTGGATGCTGTCATAGTCAGGGCATTTCCCATGTTAAGATGGCTGTAGCTAGCAAGACAATGGCGTTTGCAGCTCCTCTTGGACTATGGTTCCACTGCCAGAGTTTGACTGGTAGAGGTAGGGACTGGGATGGCTTGGGTCTCAGGGGTATCTTCTGAGAAAATAGAGACTACAATGCCAACCCTAGTAACCCCCGTGCATGGCCACCTTCTGACTCAGCTCTTCGAATTATTTCTTTTGCTCCTTCTCATTGAAACAGTCACTGGTCCAACTCCCCAAAAGCTGAGGAAGAAGCTGGACTTTCCTCTATTTGATCCATTTACATTGAAGAACCTAGTCAGTCAGGAAATGCAGTCTTTTTTTTTTTTTTTTTTTTAAGATTTATTATGCATACACGAGCTGGGATACAGGCCAGAGGTGTGGGGGTTTGAGAGGATTCACCAGAGACAGAAGGGGGAACAGAACAGGCAGACTGAAATACACTGCTGAGGGGAGCAGCAGGCCAAGTTAGGAGAGGTCTGCTGTGCCATGTGGGTTGCTTGCTGGCCGGCTGGGGATTGAACTCGTGCTGCAGAGGCTTCGGATTGCTTCATAGTGGGGTACATAACCCTTTGTGCCACCACGGAGGCCCAGTTGTTGGGTTTTAATAAAAGACTCCCCGTAGCTGCTGAGTTGAAGCAAGGACAGAAGTGCTAATTTGTATGTTGCACAGTAACCCAGCCAACAGGGTAGTGGCTTGGACCAGGATGGGATTAGTGGGAGGGTGTCGAGAAGTGGTTCGAGTTTAGATACTTATTTCAAAGGCAGAGGGCTTTGACCTGCCGATAGACATGAGGTGTGAGAGAGAGAAGAATCAAGTTGACTCCACAGCTTTGGCAGCAGAAAACGGGAAGATGACCTTTACTTCCACCTTTCAAAGCTCAGTTGGTGAAACACATCCAGAACCCTAGCACAGAGACTTTGGGAAATGCTGTATTTCACTTTCTAGCCCAGATCATCCAGACTGGGCCTTCACAAAGTGGTGGGTGATGAGTGCCAGCCGACCAGATGCACCACAGTTGGTTTAAGGGTTCAAAATTTGGGAAGCTTCCTGTGACCGTGTCCTGCTGGTCCAAAGTTCTCTGTGCTTCATTCCCTGGAAACAGTAAATTCTGAATAAAAACACACTCAATACCGGGCCTCCCCGGTGGCGCAGCGGTTGAGCGCTGGGTTGCGAAGCTGCGCGCGGCCTCTGCGGCGCCGGTTCGATCCCCGGCTGCTCCCCGGCCACCGGAGGAGGGTCCCACATGGCGCGCAGACCTCTCCTGCCGCCCGCTGCTCCCCTCAGCAGTGTACTTCGGTCCTTCTGCCTGCTCTGCTCCCCTCTCTGGCTCTGGTGAATTCTCTCGCCCTCCCGCGCTTCTGACTGTACCCAGTGCATGTATAAACAAAACAAACAAAGAAACCAGCAAACAAATAAATAAAGCATGCCTCTATAAAAAAAAAAAAAAAAAAAAAAAAAAAAAAAAAAAACACACTCAATACCTAAGACTAACATCCTCAGTGAGATTTTTAAACCTTTCACCAGGGCAGGAGAGACACAGGAGAGCTTTTCAAAATGTTTTACATGCAACAATTTTAATGATTGTATTAGAATCTATCCTTGGACTATCAAAATTCACCCTAACAGTCACCTATTTCTGTGCATTTTGTTTTTTCCAGTTTTCCACTTTTAAAAATGGTATAATAAATAATCTTTTTTTAAAAGATTAATTTATGCACACAAAACTGGGTTACAGACCAGAGGTGGGGGTGGGGGGGAGGGTGACAGGATTCACCAGAGACAGTGGGGAACAGAACATGCAGATTGACTGAAATATACTGCTGAGGGGAGAGGCAGGTGAGTCAGGAGAGGTCAGCCATGCCATGTGGGTAGCTCCCTGGTAGGGGATCAAACTCATGCTGCAGCGGCTGCAGATAGCTTTATAGGTTACTCTTAATCCCTTCCGCCAGGGAAGCCTATAATAATCTTATATTTTTGCCAATATCCTCAGTTATTTCCTTAAGATTCTCTATTTAGGGCCTCCCCGGTGGCGCAGCGGTTGAGCGC